TTGTTATTATTTTTATTGTTATATTTTTTATTTTCGGTCATTTTTATGAAACGCAACGAGCTCTAAAAGAGTATCTCTTTCAGAAGGGGCAAAATTAGGAGACCCTTTCTGTTTTGCAGACATGAATGAAACAAAATTTTAAAAAGGTCTCGAATTTCGGTTAGAAACAACACATACATGCAGAACAGAACGAAAAATACAGAGTTGCCGGTTATTGTCTGAAGCTTAGCTAAGAACACGTGAAAAACTGATGGTGCAACTCATTGAAACTTAAGTCGGACTTAAATTTCAAGGTATACTTAGGTAAGGACGTGCTTAGAAGAAGTTTGGTGCAAGTGGGCATTAGAGGCTTTGAACCTAGCGGATTGTTGCTTCGATTTAAATTTCCGTTACTGCTGGATCGCAGGTGCTACTCTATGTAGTATTTGTTAGTAAGCCATACCGATCCCACATTGACTGTCCATCTATTATCTCAGGTCTACTTTCATGTGCCCTCTCAAGCCAAGTCTGCAAATTTCTACATTTCACTTGCCCACAACTTTAACTAATTTCTCAATGATTACACCACCGTTTCCGGTTTTGCTAATGTTTTTCATTACACTTTCAATTCAATGGATATCTATTTCCATATAATTTTATGACGGTGCTGCATGTTTGAGGCTTAAGGATCTTTTACAAATATCTTCCAATTACTATTTTTTTGATTTTTGCAAAAATGCAGTTTTCACTCATGGAAATTCACTACTTTGCCATAGTATCAAATTTTCAGTCTAGTGATTCAATTTTGAATTAAAAATCAATACATTTTTGCACTTAACGGTTGTAAAGCGTCATAAGGCATTCTTATACTCTAATGTCTATCAAAGGTTTGATGTAGATCGTGTGTGTATTTATTCTCAAACAGTAATGATCAGAGCGTAAGCTTTACAATAAACTTTACTTGTACAGTGTAGTTAGATGGAGATCGAAGACTGGACCCACCCCCATTTTTTATTGCATGAAATAATATTCGGCAGCATACGTGATTATCATTAAATTTATGATACGATATGATTACGAAAAAAAAAGAGCACTATTTTCAGTTGATTGTACATTTAAAAAATTGTAAAGCATCAAATAATACTCAATTATTTATTAGTGATGTGTTAATAATTAATTCATTTTATTTGCAGCCCATCTACAACAGATCAACAAACAAGCTGTAGACACAGTTGCACAGTTTATAAGCACAAAAGAATACCTGGAAAGTGAGCTGAATGGCCAGGTAGTAAAACATATATGTTTTTTTGTTTTAAATAGGCACCAAACGATTGCAGCGAATCCACGTGTTGTTTACAAATAATCAAAAATTTTCCATTTTTTTCATATAAATATTACGTCAACGAACTAACCAAGAATCCCCAGACAATTTTGATGTTTTTGCGTTGAGGTTTTGACATATTTCCTATTGCATTATAATCGATCTAGTATTATGAAATATGTCTTGCATAATGTATTTATTCTTCAATTAATATTTCACTTACGCCTGTTTAAAAACTGATACAATAGATTTTACATTGTGATTTTTGTTTTGAAAATATCATTAGTTACTGTTTCAGCAACATAATAACCTTCCCTCTCAGATTTAAAAACAAATGATACTTCTTTTAATTCATGGACCAAATCATTTAAATCGAGAAATAATCGAAAATAAATGCTGCGCAAGGGGCAATTGAATAACAAGAAACATAAATAATTGGAATTGATAATTGCATAAAATAATTGTTGCTATGTGCATATTTTACAATAGAAGATCTGTAATTGTGAGTTAATAATTACTGTGAATTTATTTTAGGTTGCTAATGTTATCGAAATTCGAGTGAAAATCATCGAAGAATTTTCTATTGTAATAAGGATTACTCGTCAACTACAATCCCTTGTAATCGATGAAGAACTGACTAAATGGAAACGTGAACAGCAATTAGCGGGCAATGGATTTGTCTTTAAAAATAACGTAGATGAGATCCAGGACTGGTGTGAGAGTCTTGCCGACACACTCTGGGCGAACAGGATGAATATTAAAGAATTTGAACGTATCAGATCAAAACTTGCTCTGGACAGTCCATCGTTTGCCGATCCCGTTCCAGGCCTTGATGCAGAAATAACTGAGTTATTGTCATCACTCGTCACATCAACTTTTATAATTGACAAACAACCTCCACAAGTAATGAAAACACATACAAGGTAATGCCATACAATTTCTTGTATATTAATTTAGGTAGTGTCGAGTTATCAGTGATTTTTTAAATATTTGTGTGATTATGTTTTAATTAATTGAAAGTGACTACATTTCCACAAGATGGCAAATGACGCCATCATAGTTCACAGTCAAACTGCACCGACAACAATATATATTTTATAGCATGTTGCCAAATGTTCACCAAAGTAGCAAATTTCTGAAGGTAAATTCCCATTTTGTATGGAGATAGTAGCTCAATTTAAATAATCCTAACTAAAATGAACAAAAAAGTGAGGAACTTAGTATAAAATATACCAAATACTACAAACAACAAAAATAATAAACTTACAAAATGTGTAAGAAAAATTCAAGTAGGAACAAAATATGCCTGGGTAATACTGTGTCTTAAGGCACTTGTGTGTTGATGCCGCTCTGTGTGTCCATTTGCCGCGACACCTGGCCTCTTACGACGCGGCACTTTAAACAACACTTAATCTCATTCAAGATGGTAGACTTCGGATTGCAGTTCGTGAAGGCCACACGCAGTTACCATATGGTTTCTGACCGTCTCGACATGAATTATTTTACGTTATAAAGCCGCACGAACAAAAGTGCTCAAAATACTTGTTTATTGATTACTGATGAATTCTTATTTATCTCGGTTTGATATGGCTCGCATAAGATGCTGGTCGCAGGTACCAGTAAGTACAACATCTGGGATTTCGATWTTTTAACAATGCATAAASGCAAATGCCTGCCTTTTGATTACTAGCGGATTGSATGAAAAATCGAAGAATGCCAAAAAACTAATTTAAATGGTTTTGTCAGCCCTTGGATATATAAAGGAACAACAGWCATTCGGTCATAATTTATGGCTGACCCAGCAGCTTCGAAAGCAATCACAGATACTTGTGAGACAAAWASGCTTTACAAAAAGAAAAAATGTTACCACTTCATTCATTCCTTTCATTAAAACAACGCAACCGGCGTCTGTCATAGTCTCTCTTCAGTAAAACAAAAGAAGAAAACATTGAACGCGCTGCACCGCTTAAGAGCAGCGCTAGTGAACTTACGAACCACATGACATCACGAAYGCATTGTCTTCTGTTTTTATTTCCCAACATATGAAAASTGTGGYGCGCTGTGTCTGTATCAATACGKCAAGGCGTGTMGGTGTCGCTGTGTGAACACCCGAAAATCCACTGTRTCACCCAGRCCTAGAACAAAWTGTAGATTTGGCAAATGSGCCAAATTTTCCGACCTTTTTTACCGKTCTGGCAGACAAAGGGGACAGTATCCTTTGTTATCTTAAGAAAACGWAGTGAATTTGATTGAGTGAAAAGTGGCCAAAASCCGTAGRTTCCCTGAAARCAAYACTCAGAAAAGTCGTTAATAAAAATATTACCTATGAATTACCATACATATATATATACATTACATTACCAATTTTTGTATTTGTTACAGATTTACWGCGGGAGTTCGATTGCTTGTTGGTAACAAGTTGAATGTTTACATGTCTACYCCGGTTGTGAAAGTATGTATCATCTCAGAAACTCAGGCAAATTTGTTATTGAAAAATGAGAAATCTTTACCGAAAACCGGTGATACCGCAGGAGAAATTCTTAACAATAATGGTATGTTCTGTTTCTTCATAAATAATACGACTACTTTTTCTGCACTATATAAAGGACAAATAAATAATGAAATATGAGTAATGTGATTTGTTAAGTCAAAAAAAGTTTGCTATTAATGTATTTGGAAGTGCAAACGTACAAAATGGGGTGCTGTCAATTAACAGCGCTGTGTAGTGGACAAAATGGCAAAATAGCTACTGATCATACAAATGAATGTTATGAGAATTTATAACATTTGCTATGTCCTCACAGTCTTTGCAATACACTYCTAAAACGTAGTGCTCGATTGCGACCAGCAATTTAAAAGGAGCGCTTTTGAATGAWTTTAAGTTTTAAAAAAAGTCTYAAATTTTATTTGGTYGGAGGTAGTAAACCTCATATTCAAACAATTTTAGTCTATGCTTAGGTATCGCATRGTTAGGTGCTCTTTTTGCATATTGATATGACAAATTGCATTTGCCGATTTAGAATCATTCATATGTTTTCATGAAGTAAATTTCAAATTTTACAGCAAACATGGAAATACAGGGAGCTAATAAACAACTTACTGTAAGTTTTCGAAATATGCAGCTGAAGAGAATTAAAAGAGCTGAGAAAAAAGGCACTGAAAGCGTTATGGATGAGAAATTTTCTCTTCTTTTCAAATCTCAGTTTGCTATTGGTGGGGGGCAAATGGTGTACCAGGTCTGTATATTTATTTAGTTCTTTGAATGTCATTAATTTTTTTTGTTTCTAGGTATGGACGTTAAGTTTACCAGTAGTTGTAATTGTGCATGGCAATCAGGAGCCCCATGCTTGGGCTACGGTTACTTGGGACAACGCTTTTAGCGAGAGTAACAGGACTCCCTTCCAAGTACCAGATAAGGTACGTGTATTTTGTTTAAAAATTTTTTGTGTAGTAGTAGTTTAGTACATTAGTAGACATTTATTAACATTAACCAAGTTTGTTTGAATTTTTGTTCACACATCTGTTTTTCTTTAGGTGCCATGGTCCAAAGTAAGAGAGACTTTATCGCAAAAGTTTAAAGCGGCTACCGGTCGTGCATTGTCTGAAGACAATTTACATTTCCTAGCTGATAAGCTATTCAGAGGCAACTTTATGCAGTCAACGACTCAAGCTGTGAGCTGGGGACAGTTCTGCAAAGAACCTTTACCCGAAAGGACTTTCACATTTTGGGAATGGTTCTACGCTATAATGAAGCTAACTAAAGAGCATCTTCGAGGTCCTTGGGAAGACGGGTAATTGTCGTTTTTATTAGATTACTTTGCTTCTGGGGGCGTTTTAGAGGTCTTTTTATTTAGTACAAAAACAATATAACAACCGAATTATTAATTAATTTAGCAGTTATCTGATATCATATAAATCAACGTACCTTCAAACCGCGCTTCGCAGCAGCGCTGCAGAGTGTGAAAGGGCATATAATGTTGCATTGAGTGGCCTATTTCTTCAAGCAAGAGCTTCGAAATGGGTGGTAAAATTGCTAAAAAAGGCTTTTACATGTGAACTATTTGAGCAGACAATGTTTTTCCAAAAATATGGAACTTTTTCACATTTTAAACATAAGTGAATGAGAGAAAATTTTAAAAAATATAAATGTAACCGAATAAAATACATACGTAGATATGTTAGACGCGGTTAAACATGGGAGAATTAATTCTTCCTTTTATAGGGAGGGACCTTCGATGTCTAGTGAAATAGTTTGTTCTTCAACTTCTATATATGTACTATATCCAGACTCTGGAACTGTATAGTTGTTTTTGTTTTTCAGAGCAATAATGGGTTTTATCAAGAAAGGCAGGGCAGAAGAATTGCTTCAATCATGTCCAGTTGGCACATTTCTACTTCGTTTTTCGGACAGTGAACTGGGGGGAATTACTATTGCGTGGATATCAGGTATCTAGACGATGTTGTCATTCATCAGTTAATATCATTATCAGCACTCATTCACACTGACCATCATAAATAACATTTTATTTGTTTTTATTCGAATATTTTTTCAGAAACTCGCGAAGTGTTAAATTTGCAACCGTTCACCGCAAAAGATTTTGTAATGCGTTCATTAGCAGACAGAATTTATGACATTCATGAATTAATTACGTTGTATCCTGACTCTGCCAAGGAGTTTTATTTCGAGAAGTACTGCACATCACTCGAAAGTACACGTAAGTAAACAAGTCTTTTGGTAGACATTAAAAATATATAAATTCTCTTATAAGTTACGACATTGGCAATTTTGAAACTAGTTTAAAAAAAGGATTAAATTAGATTATTGAACTTAATTAAATTAAGTCTGAAAATAATATATGTTTTTTTCAGCTTCAGGTCGAAATGGATATGTTAGGCCGATGTTGGTGACAACAGTTCCAAAGGATGGATTCAACACCCCTCAACACAACAGTTCATTTGCAACGCCAGATTTGAACCGAGATACGCCCTCAGTGGCGAGCAGGTAACAGAGTTTTATGTCAAACCGATAATAGTAGAGTTAAAGTTTTCATAACTGGTTTGAAATTTTCATAGATTAAATTGGAATTTTTTCTGGCCCATATTCTGTTTAACCATTTACTTACTTTTCCTTTTACTTACATACTTTTCCGTCAGTATTAGTTATTTTATAGTACCTACCTACCTACCAGTGAGTTCTTAAGCGATCAATAATTTTTTTATAGATACATCCCTAGAATGCTCATTTTTAAATTAAACTTTCGTTTTATAGCCACTGCTTTTGATGTGTATAATAATAACAAAATTTTAAATGATTCTATTGATACGTTTTTTTGCCAGTTAAATAACTGCCGACAAGCGGGTTAATATTATCGGGAACTTTTGTAATTTACTTAACTGTGGTACCCTATAATTACCATCTGAATTTTTACTTGACCATATTGAAATCTGCTTCAATCAAAAATTAATGATGATTTTATATTTGAGTATATGGTCAGTTTTTTTTTTACTAAAATAGGAAACTGCCTCCGTTTCAGTAGAGTGCAAAATCTTGAAAGCTTCAGATAATAGAAAATAAAATAGTATTTCGCAACAGACTTCGGGTTAAGTAAAAAAATCTGATTTATTGATTGAAGGGTGACTCAACAGAAACTCACATTCACGGAAAAAATGGAAATGGTAGTTCTTACTAAAATCGGACATTTTTGCCAGAAATTAAAACATAAAATTAGCAATTTTATGATTTGAAATTTATTTGACTAGTATCTGCAGGTTCCATACAGTTTGATCAACTCTTCTTCAACGTTACATCACGTATAACGCGCTTTGTCCGATAATGAGTGTTAATTTGCCACACGACAAATTTCGGACAGAACAAAAGAATAAAAATCAACCCTTAATGAAAACTATTTAATTAAGGCAACGATTTAAGTGACAATTTAATAGAGAGAGAGTGAGAGAAAAAAAAGGGTTTCCCTTGAGCGGGTATTTCGGGCGGTCGTGTGCAAAGCCCGAAGGGTGAGTTCGTTTGAGCGCCACTAGCTTTCGCAGCAAAACTAGAACACTCAGCGATGGAGTGCTGCCGAAATACCTACTCAATTCTTTTACCGTGATAGTACATAAACTGACTTAGTTAATGATGAAACAAAAAAAAAGGAAAATGGTGAGCTTAATAAAGAACAAGAAAACGTGGTTTGACGACCACAAACTACCGTCTGCTAACCGTTTGATCTGTAACCTACGTTAACTGATTAATCAATTGAAAATTTCCAAGAAAAAAATACAAATCGATAATACACAGCCAATAGCAATACTCGCCCCAAACACCAGCAAGTCTCTGAAGTGGCCAGTCCACAATTTCAGTAAGTCAATATTCCCAGTCGGGAACCAGGAGGGGGCTGATGTCCCCAAACGGATGTTCAAGTAGCGGGCAGATCTTCCACACAGCAGAATATGGCGGATTCGGAGATCAATTGGACGGTGATCAACTATGTTCGGCAATCTCTGGTACTTGATTGCCCTTCGCTCGGTGACCCTGCTGGGTCCACTCTTCGTCCCTTCCCATCAATAACGGTGGTCCGTGAAGGTGGGGCAACCACCACGTTGCCAGACAAACCCATGATAAAGACTGCTGATGTTTGAGAGAGAGATACAAATATCCAAACATCAAAATTCAAATAATCCCAAAATATTACTAACCTAATCTGACAAACTTGCTTACTAAATCCAAGTTACAAATGAAAATCGGTTGACAAAAATAGCTTATTACAATTATAACTTATGGTTATAAGCAGACAGGTGAACCATTGGCTAAATTCCATTTTTAACCGTTACAAATTATTGGGGACGTCGTAGCTAATTCTGCTTCTTGGGTCAGCGCGAAACGCCATAGTCTGTACTAGTGGTGTAAGATTTGATTACTTTTGAATACTCGTACCGACTAGTTATTTCTGGATTCAATACTCGTCACTTCGGATCAGTTATTCAAGTACTCATTCTAGTGGCTAGTCTTACGAAAGTCGAGGATCGATCTTGGTATTTTATTAGTGCCCTTCATATTTGTTACACGGACACTTTAGTCATACAAACCATATCCAACCCTTCAATTTATGATTCCCCTATAGATACTTAGGTATATTTACTTCTAAGACTAAATAATCATACCATTTTTATCAATTTTTAAGTTAGTTGTGAATTAATTCCCTATTGTTCTGTCTATTGTTATTGTAGATATTGTGCGCAGACATTTTGAACCCCCACGGTTATTAATACTTGCAGTTTCTAAATAAATTGTCTTTTTGAAAGCAAGTCATTTAACTCTGCGAAGCAACATGCCACACATCCATAAATAAATGTTGATACAGTAGTAATACAGTGCGACAATTATCAATTTTAATAAACGTCTTTTTACAAATATGCCGTTTTTAAATAATTTTCAATTATTATGTTACATTTTATATTATAAATGTGAATGTAAAAATATATTTGAAGTTTACCATGCGGCAACGTGCAACGCTGTTTTTAGTGATTAGAAACGACCGGCGTTGAAAATCAAACGCGGTATTAGTAGTTACTAGTCAGTTTAGTACCAGTTAGTTTAGTAGTTACTAGTCAGTCTGAATGAGTACTCGGCATAGGGATTCGGTACTGGTACTGATTACTTGTATTGATTACCAGTTAGTCTGAACGAGTACGAGTAGTAGAGTATTGGGCTTCGGAGTCGGAGGTTAGGATGGGTGACTTGATTTTCCGAGAACGATTACTGATTACTTGAATACTCGTTTGGTAGCTTGGTTCGGTATTCGTTACTATGGATACTGATGAGTAACCAGTACTAGAATACCGATTAGTTACTTTTATACCACCACTAGTCTGTACGTTATAACTTTGGTCGCACGTCATCAATCGTCGGTCGAGCGTTGTTGCCATACCCGCCGCAAATTATATATAATTTACGTTTACTAGTGCGGTGATCGCTAATCGCCGATCACCGCAAACGCGAAACTATGGATTCAGTCAATCAGTGCGTGAGAGTTTGACACAAACAGTGTTTCGCTCTTTACCGGTATGATATCGGTAAAGAACAAAAAAAGTTGTCGACGAGCTCCAAAAACAAAAAAGCTAACAAGTTCCATATTAAATAACCGGACACAATCTACAAGTAATGTTAATCTGGCAAGCTTCGCAGTATCATTAGAAATTGCAAAAAATGCAAGCCATTCGCAAATGGTGGGTATGTCAAAGATTGCTTCGTACATGCATCTGAAGAACTGTTTCGTGATTTCAAAAACAAACCAGAAAGAAGTCTTTAAAAAAATCACGGATTTGCCACTTCGCAAAAACAGTACAAAATAGAATAGCTAAAATGTGTTCAAATGTAACATATTTGCAGGTGGAAGATATGCAACTTTCTTCTGCTTTATCACTTGCTATAGATGACTTTTGCGACATAAAAGAGACGACACAAGTTGCCCCTTTTGTCTGGTAAGTATGTGTCTTCCCAAGGTTCAAAAGAGGTACTTCTAGAATTGCTGCCGCGCTCGGGACAAACTAGAGGGTTAGATATAGCGAATGCTGTGCAAAAATGCCTTTAAATAAAAACGGAGCAACGACGATTGTTGAGAGCACAATAAATCTTGAAACTCATATGTTTCACTGCATAATATATCAAGAAGCGCGTTGTGCCCAAACAATTCCAGCCGAAATCGTTGAGGTCATGAGTTTTGGTAATCTAGATTAACAGCATCTTGTCAAATGCACTCTACCATCGTCAGTTAAAGAATTCTTAAACGACATGGAGACTCAGTATTCCGATTTCCTTGACAATAAAATGCGACGRACTTTCCAACTGTATGGWGTCAATTGAAACKTTTTGCTTTGCGCTTGAATGMAAATACATTCCTAAATGAAATAGGCATTAATCACGCGGAATTAGAGAACGACAAATGGTTGCAAAAAATTCACTTTATGATGGATATCAGAGCGAAAATAAATTAGCTGAATCTAAAACTGCAAGGAAAAGGAAACCCAGCCTATGTTTTGTTAGAAGAATTGGTTTGTTTCGAAGAAAAACTAATTATTTTTGCAGAAGGTATTCAGCGCGGTAAATTACCTCATTTTTAAATTTAATCAGTAGATCAGAAGGAAAGAATTACTTCAAAGCAGTTATAAACAAAAATTAAAGATGAATTTGCGGACATATTTGAACAATTCAAAACCAAGAAAACCACTTTGACATTCATAGTAAAGCCTCTCAACAGAAATAGTAGGAAAATCCACATTGAGCCATTTGGAATTGATAATGGATCTCTAGAAATAAAATTGATCGATTTATAAATTAAAGCTTTGTGGAGTGGAAAAGATACAAAAATACATAGTGCAACAAAAGTGGACAACTTTAAAATAAATGCCGGCAGTTGAGGCACTTATATTCGATCCATGGAATACTCTTGCAGATTGCTACAGTGACCTCACTGTAGAAGTTGGCATTTGGCTGACTGCTGACTATCTTCGGATCGACTTTCTAAAAACCATCCAAATCCAAGCAAAGTCAGTGTTGAAAGCAAATATTTAATTGTTTAAATTTTTTGCTTAAAAGTCATTATCTAACGAGGCCATATAAAAAAATCAATGTTTTTCAATGTAATCTGCCTAATTAACATTAGGGAAATACCAAAAGATCAATACAGAAGTTGGMAATAAAATCGACCAGGATAAACGATAAACTCAACAGGATTCGTTGACTGTGGAACGTACTTTGAAATGTCAATTATTGTYCTTATAACCTCGAATTTATGTTTTTAAATAAAAATACATTTGTCATTAACTCGAAACAAGTTAGTGCCTGTGTAATCTGGTTATTATCCACTCTTATCGAGCAGCTTCTCGTCTTCGGTTAATTAACTCCTGCTCAATTTGTACCGGTGTTCAGTACTTAGGCAGCAATCGATGGAAGTGACAAGAAGTGACGTAGACGCTTGTGTTTAATTACAAGCGTCCTTCATT